CAGGTTTACAAAGATGTAAAACAATGGCCTCTCTACTCACTGTATTTTTATTTTGGAAAAAGAAATGTTATTTTTCATAAAAATCCTGGCATGTAATGGGTTTATTGTTTCATTAACAAATGAATATTTAAACAATTAATTCCATTGTCATTTCAGGAATGTTCTCTAAATGGAATAGTGTAGTAGGCAGCCTTTTAGGATTGGCTTTTTTCACTCAGCATAATTCTCTGGAGATTCATCCAGGTTGTGTGTAGCAATAATCATTCATTCTTTTTTATTGCTGAGTACTATTCTACAGTACAGGTGTACCATGATTTGTTTACCCACTCACCCATTGAAGGTCGTCTGGGTTGTTTCTAGTTTGGGGCCATTGCAAATAAAGCTGTAGGTTTATGCGTGACTTTCACTTCTTTGGAATAAATATCCAGGAGTGCAGTAGCTGAATTGTATGGTAGTTGCATGCCAGTTTTTTAAGGAACTGCCAAACTTGTCCAGAGTGGATAAAGGGATCGTTAGGTGTAAAAGTTTGACATCCATTGCTTTATACAAAGGTACTATCAAAGCTGATGTGTAACATATACAGTAAGAGAGTTTTCTTGTATTGATATCAAGTAAAAAAAATAACTTTAAAATTCTCAGACTTCTGAAGACTAAAGGAAGTTACGTCTCATTCTTTGTTATCATAGAGCAAGGTCCAGTATATCGACTGCTTTGCAGTGCCATAAATTGCAAGGTTTTCTCCTATATGTTTATATAGTGATATTATACATTTCAGGACTCTGAAACATTTCAGGCTCAAGTATGAGCCTGAGAACAAAAAAAATTTTTAGTGCATAATATGTGCCAAGAATGGGGAATACAAAAGATAAAGAAGATGTTATCTTTACCTTCAAAGAGCTGCAAAGACAGATAAGCAAGTAGGCAAATGTAGTAATTGCTGAAATGAAGGTATGTGTAAAGAGCAGCAAGAGCATAAGGGAAGGGAGATGTACCCAAGAGTAGGAGGGAGGCTGATGGGTTCTACAGAGCAAGTAGAGTTTGAGTAGGAATTTGCCAGGAGGACACTTGAGAGAGTAGCCTGAGACTCTTGATGTTGATGAGTCAAAGGAACCCTAGGGGTTTCCCATCTAACCATACTTTGGTGGGAATCTTTAGCTCATGGCCTTTTTTCTGGGCTGGATCTCCAGGGTTAGGGACCGTGAGGACACCTTCAATCTGAATTAAAAATAACCTGAAGAGGGGCGCCTGGGTGGCACAGTTGGTTAAGCGACTGACTTGATTTTGGCTCAGGTCATGATCTCACGGTGGTGAGATTGAGCCCCTAGTCGGGCTCCACACTCAGCAGGGAGTCTGTATAAGATTCTCTCTCTCCCTCTCCCCCTGCTCTCTTGTGCACTCTCTCTCTCAAATAAATAAATAAATCTTAAAAAACAAAACAAAACAAAACAAAAAAACAACCCAAGAGAAATGATCTGAATAATATATAGTTTTGGAATTTGCAAACTAACTATGAAAAGCCATAGCTCTTCCTGAGAGTCTCTATGATGCACCAGGGTATTCTTATCTCATAAACCAGGAAGAGCAAGCCTGTTACTCATAACTAGAGTTAGGTAGAAAACAGTGTCTTCTTACTCCCTTTCTATTGTACTGGCTATTTTTCAAGATATTATTTAAAACGTGTTGAACGGGGCCCCTGGGTGGCTCAGATGGTTAAGCATCAGCCTTCGGCTCAGGTCGTATCTCTGGGTCCTGGGATCCAGCCCTGTGGTGGGCTCCCTGCTTAGTGGGGAGTCTGCTTCTCCCTCTGCCTCTGCCTCTCCCCCAATTGTGCATGCTTGCATGCTTGCTTGCTAGCTTGCTCTCTCTTTCTCTCTCTCTCTCTCAAGTGAATAAATAAAATCTTTAAAAAAATAATAAAATGTGTTGTAATATTCTCAGCCAATTTAATAACTTCCATATCTACTATTAGTGGAATATTATCTAAACAGACAATGTAGTTTGTAAAGATACACATTATACTACATTTTACCTTTATATTATGAAAAATATTTAAGACTTGCTTATTTAACTTGTATTTTAATATTTCAGATTTTGCTCATAGAATATCTGAAATCAAAATTATATATAAACATGGGCATATCCTCCTATAAACATAGGTGTACTTCTGGCCGCCTAAATGTAGTAAGAGTACACAAGTAAATTGTCACCTATGTGGTCATTCAGCATTTACTGAGCTGCTCTTCTGTGAGAGGGTCCAGCTCTTAAGGAGCTCACAGTTTAGTATGAGAAGTAGTATTAGGTGTTGATTTAGACTTGCACACTAAGAAGGAATGAAATCATCTGCCTGGGTTGGGAGTAGAGGGGTAGGTTTAGGGGTTAGAAAGACAGGATCAGGCTGCCTTTGGTCCTTACAAAATTCATACAACCAAGGCTTTCATGAAATACCTCTCCTCTTTCTTAAAATTACTTAATTGACTATTGAGTAATTTTGAAGCAAGAAAGAACTAGATTTCCTTATCTCTTACCAAGTAATTATAAGTTGTTTGGCTTTGTACAAATCGTAACATCTGTCTGAACTTTTGTTTCTTTATCTTTAATAATGGTAATAATAGCTAATACTTATATAGCACCTATTGTGTGCTCATTTATTATTTTTATACGTTCATTCTTTATATCAAACCTTTGAAATAGGCACTATGATTACCCCCATTTTACATATGAGAAGGAAACAGACGTTTAGTAAGGTTACAAAGCTAGTAAGTGACAGAGCGAAGATTTGAACCCTCACAGACTGGCTCCAGAGTATGTGCTCTTAAGTACTTATGCTATACAGCCTTGCAGTTCTTTAATCGTACTTACATGCACATGCTAGTGATCTACACGTGAGAATTTGTCCCTTAATGTTTGTTTCATGGTAACAGAGGTATTTCGGGGGTGGAAGATAATGCAGTTGTTATTTGGTATTTTAAATGGGAACATGTTATTTTTCCTCATGGAAAGATTTTGTGATAAAATGAAAATAAACTAAAAGTTATTTAGAGATTTAAAAAAGAGCTAAAACATAATAGTCTTAAGAGAAATGCTTTCTTAGTCATTATGTGGGAGGCTAGAATTGCAGTATTTTTTTTTGACGAAAAGAAAAATTAGAATAAACACTATCACAAAGAAAGAAGAGCAAAGGATATGTGAATTTTCTTGCTAATTGGGTGGGGAATAAGAGTCTGAAGGCATTCTGTATTAAAATACCTAGTCTGTCTGTGTGGGATAAATGCTGTTTCTCTTCTTAATCTCACATACCTTGCACTGATGTTTGAAAAGTTACGATGCCCAGAGGGTAAAGAACAAGCCTTGTAAGTTACAAAATACAAGAAGCATTTGCTCTCTTAATGTTGGTACTGATAGGAGTTTAGATCACAGACTGCTGCTGTTGTTATTTTATTAAGTAGTTTTTAAAAACAGTTTATCGAAGGTCAGCCATCCCATCTGAATCCTGTCCCACCTGCTCGTAATTCATGGCACTTCTTGTTGACTTTGTTAAAATGTTAATATTGTTTTTCTAATAAAAACTCCAAATAAATAAAATAATAAATACGTATGTGTGATGGGAGGAGAATTTTCTCATTGAAACAGATGTTGGGAGCATTGACATGGTATCCTACCCTCTCTGTTCTTGTGGCAGGGAGACCCAGGTTTGATGATATCGGTACCCTGAGTACGTTGTGCCTCGGATATTTTGACCTGCTGCATACTCCCTGAGTGTGCCAGGTGCTCTGAAGCCCCTGAGATTCCGCACAGGGGCGCTTGTCTGCTTCCGTTTGACCGACACACCCTGTCACAACTCAGCAGTGCATGTTTTTCCCCTTTTGAAAGTATTTCCAGCTATAAAGCCAAACTTGAGTTAGATGCCAGTTCTCCTCATCTTTCTCTGTATTCACATAATAGCCTCCTGCACATGGCTTTCTTGGAGTACATTGAATTTTAATGATAGGTTTTCTTAAGTATCCTCTCCCTACCTCTCCTGTCTCCTTGTTCAATGTTTAGCACATACTAGAGACTATAAATATTTACAGAAGAGCAGATATAGACAGCTGCTGCCTCTGGAGTTGATTTTTAACCCCTGGTGCTTCTGGGGGAACTGGAGGGGAGCATTCCTTGCTAGCCTTGCACTAAACTGGAGAGGCTGTTCTGAGAGTCTTACAGTTGGAGAGGAGACAGACATACACGCACACACAAATTGCTGTTTTGAGCAAGCAAGAACAGATCAAAGTGTGGAATAATATGAGGTGGAATTGTTATTTATAACACATCTTACTGATTTAATTGAATTACAGTGGGCTTTTTCCTTTAATGCCTTAAAATAGTATTGCACTTTATGGAGCTTGCACAGGAGTTATTTGTATATGCTGTGTAGTTTATCTTTCTATAATCTGTGCTAGATAGAGAATATTTAAATCATACATATTTTGAAATCCATTTTTTCCAAATATAGTACAGGGCGAAGGTCATTTTTTAAATAGACACTGAATTATCCTTGAGACAACATTTCAAAGACACAGTCTTTGGTATAGCAATGTAAATGCATAAAATCAGAAGCAAAGAACCATGACTGGGATGACAGATGCAAATGTATTGCATAATATACCTCAATTTGCATTATTAGCATGCTATGTAGATTAATTGGCTTTAAAAACTACCATTGAGCAGTGAAGTATTGGAGGATTTCAGTCAGTAAAACAGATTGATTCTTTCTTATGTCACACCATATGCAGCATCTTTTGCTTTTAATCACAAGTTCTTTTTTCACCAAGAACTTGGCAATGCAGCCAAGTAGCTTAGCCAGCTAGCAAATTAGTTAGGTTTTTATGACTAATTTATCACCTGGTCTAAATTTTATTTTATCTTTTACCTAAAAAAGAAGTTAACTAGTGATACTATATTGATAACTTTTAGCCCCCCTTGATTGATATTAATTACATTTTTGATTTGTTTTGTTTATCTAGAACAAACCTTGATTTTAGTCAAATACATCAGTGCCGGTTAAAGGAAACCATACCTGAAGTGGAAGTCTAACGTATGAGGATACAGAAACTGCTTTGGTTGATTCAGAATGGGAACCACAAGTGATGAGATGGTGTCTGTGGAGCAGACCTCCTCCTCCTCCTTCAATCCTCTGTGTTTTGAATGTGGCCAGCAGCACTGGACAAGAGAGAACCACTTATACAATTACCAGAATGAAGTAGATGACGACCTGGTCTGCCATATTTGCCTTCAGCCTCTGTTGCAGCCACTAGACACCCCCTGTGGACACACGTTCTGCTGCAAGTGCCTCAGAAACTTCTTACAGGAGAAGGACTTTTGTCCATTGGACCGGAAGAGACTCCACTTTAAGTTGTGTAAGAAGTCTAGTATTCTAGTTCATAAGCTTCTGGACAAATTATTAGTGTTATGTCCATTTTCTTCAGTGTGCCAAGATGTCATGCAACGCTGTGATCTGGAAGCACATCTTAAAAACAGGTAAGCAAAAAATATGAAGGAAAGAGAAATTCTAGGTTTTATAAAAAGGTTGGTCAGACAAAAACTTATAGTACCAAGGCATCAGTAAGTAAATGGACAAATCAAATACAAGAGAGACAATAAATAAGTTGTGTGGAACAGTATTTTACATGATAATTTCTCAAAAACGTAGATACAAAAACTTCAGTGAAGAAGTACCTATTAATTTTTGCTGGTATAATATGAAGCTGTTACATTCATATGGGCAGCAGGGTATAGTGATAGACTTTTTTCCAAGGCAGTTTGGCAGTTTGTTTCAAAAATTGTGAATGTGAATATCCTTTTATGTAGCTTATTATCCTAAGGAAATAATCCAAAAGAAGGAAAAATTATGTATAAAGGTGTGTTCACTGCAGCATTGTGCATAGTTCAATAAATCAGAGTCGATCTAATTAACAGTAGGGAAGGGTTAAAACTACCATAAAACTACCATATCTAAAACTACCATAGTACATCAACTCCATGGGATATTATGCAGACAGTACAAATGGTAATTTTGTTGCAATATGGAAATGAGGGTACATGATTTTATTTGCTAGGATCTTATAAAGAATATGTGTTCAAGGACTAGACTGACTAAGAACTAGGGGTTAGAAACCTTAAAGCATTCAATGGAGACTTTTGTTCTAACAAAGCTTTTTAAAAGGTCAAGTAATTTATTGAGCTGATTAGTGAGTTTTATAATTTGACTTTGGTGAAAGACTTGAGTTTTAGAATTATTTATACCCTTAGGAAGGGTTAAAATACATCTCTTATGTTTTATGTATGAAGAATCATATAATATGACAGAAATAAATGTGTTGATTTCTAGATTTCAGAGTTCAGCCACTTGTGCAGTAGAAAGCTGGGATTGCTGTGAAAAAATTCACAGTACAATATATGGGGTATCATAGAATTGACGGGGATTATCTAATCTTATCCCCTCACTTTACAAATCAGGAAACTGAATCACAAAGATTTAGAGCTAGTTAATGGTATAGTTAGGCCTAAACTTCTAATATTCTTACTTACCATTCTAATATACTGCGCTGACTTGACCACAGGTCAAATCGTGTTCCCTACTACTGTGTGGTAGTAAGTTTCCTATAGACATGAGTATATGTGGTCCTTCTGTTCCTAAATATCAGTGTTAGAAAAGAAGGATACTCATTAGAAATTGTTAAGATATATGAGAAAGAACAAGATGTTATTACATCGTCAGAAACAGGAAGATTTATAGAAAAGGTTTAAATCTAAGCTGTGTTGTCTAGTAGGAGGTAAGAAAACGTGTAGGGTAGGTACAGAGACTTGTGAAAGTGCATGTGGCCTTAGGTTTCCGTGTGTCCTCAGTCACCAGCAGGTGTAGGATCTGAGCACGACAGCAGAGACCTGGTGCAAATCGACACCGGACTTGTGAATGTGGTCTTCTGGGTGGGGCCTACTTACTGAGGTTGAGGAATATCTTAGGCTTGCCTTATTTCTCTCAGTTGGACTATTCTTTTTAGGGGATAGTTTTCTTCTGTGACTCTTACGAACATCAGTTATAGGATGTCAGAAGAACTGAACAAAGTCTCGGTTCAGTTACCAATTATTTTGAGAGCAGTGAGGTAAATGTTGCACAAATTTTTAGGAATATTCACTTAACTAAAATGCCTACAAGAATTTAATATGTAATTGAAGTATCATTAGTATTTTGGATCAAGCAGTTTATGTTGGTGATGTAAAAACTTGGGGACAGCAAACTTCTTTCATTTGTAGGTTGATAAAGGCTAAGCAGTCATGCCCAGTTGCAAGTTCCATTTTCCAAGTAAGCTTGTTAATATTTGAGCTACTCATTCAGTCATTTCCAAAACATCTTAGGCCTGTATAGTGAATGATTGAAAAAGTGAACAATTGAAAAAGGTGGATGATTTGAAAAGGTAAGTGACTTGCTTGATATAAACAGCTAAGAGTGATTATTGACTATGAAAAATAAAAAGGCAAATTATAAAGTATAATTTTTATATCCCATCGGAACAGACATGGGTGGAACAGCCTGACCTTCCTCTAGTTTCTCAGTTAAAAATGTTGATGTTAAGTAGTCTCCGCAATTTAGTTAAGTAGTCTCCTCTGAGAGCAAATTAGAATCTAATGCTGGGTTGTATATTGTCTTTACTAGCCTTTGCATCCCTTTGCCCAAAACTGACACTCAGCTAACGTTTCTTCAATTAAATTGTTAACCTATGTTCTGGTTATCGGTTGCTGAGAAACTAACCATCCCAAATATAGTGACATAAAACAAGCATTTGATTCTGCTCATGGATTCTGTGAGTCAAGAATTCAGGGCACAGGGCGCCTGGGTGGCTCAGTTGGTTAAGCGACTGCCTTCGGCTCAGGTCATGATCCTGGAGTCCCTGGATCGAGTCCCGCATTGGGCTCCCTGCT